TTCTCTATCTTTGTCTTCTCTGTAAACAAAAAGTCATCATCCACCCACAGGAAGTACTTGGTGGTTACCTGGGAAACAGCCAGATTTCTGCCTGCAAACCAGCCCTGAGAAGAAGAAAGAAACATCCTCTGTTCAAATTCATAAATTGGAATGGGACCCCGAGATTTACCCGGTTTGACTGGAATTGTACTTGATAAGTCTTCCAAGAACTGAATTGACATTTGCATGTCTTATATTCTATAAATATAATTTTAGTCCAAAATATTGCTAAAAACTCATAATTCTGAAATTAATGTGTGTGCATACCTGTGCTGGAGGCATGATGTAATGCTGGATGTTTTCTCCAGTAACCTTCTCTGGTTGTAAACTGTCATCTGCAATAATCACTTTAATGTCACTATAGAATTTCCGGATGCTGTCCAACAACACCCTCAGTTGTTTGTAACGCAGAAAGGTCTTTGTGACGATGGTGACCTGAGAGCTGATATCTAACAGACAGAAGTACACAGAGAATAATTTTAAGAAAAGATGAACTGTTAACAGTAGCATTAAATTTCTGAGTCATTCAACCAAAGAAAATACTAATAAATGTATTTTTTTTTTATAATTCTGGAAAAGCATGTGTGAGGATGAAAAATAAGTTAGATATAAAGATATAGAATCTGCCTTTTATTATGAAATAAATGAATTATTTCACATATGTTTTAGAGTCTTTCTGGAGCCTGCTAGGCATGGGGTCACAATACAGATATCAGATTAGAAAGATTCTCAGCATACTCTGAGTGAGCTTTGAGAAATTTCTAGCAAGAAAGTCCCAGTTCCCAGTTTGGAAGTGATTTCAGAAAATTCTCAGAGCAATTTGAGAAAACACACAGCAAAAACTTTAAATGAAAGAAAGACAGTGGGTTGGAAGAGTAAATGCAGTATTAAATGCAGCATATTGCATTCTCTGGTTAGTAAATAAATAAATAAATAAAAATCCTACAATGTTTTGAAGTCTCGAAACATTACCCTTATGCTCACTTGATTTATAACCTCAGTAAACTTGTCCCTTAAAGTTTATGATTTTTTGTCCTATACAACAAATGTAAGGTTATTTTTGTAAATGTTGTTACTATTGTAGCAAATTTAGATTTTTACATGTCAACGGTCACATTCCTATTTAACATTTCCTTTATCTATTCACAAGTGTGTGTGTGTGTGTGTGTGTATGTGTGT